AGTTGGATTCCCTAGTAAACAACTGCTATGTGGGAAAATAATTTCAATTGCTCAGGACCAACTGAGATTGCATTTAGTATATCATTAAAGGAAACAGCAAAAAGATCAAACTGTGCAGTATAAAATTTCAAAGTTCTTCCATCTAATAACTCTAAATTTCATCCTGATATTCTGCAACATTACTTTTTAATAAAGCCCAGTTATCTTACTTTCAATTTCACTGCAACACACAATGCAACATTACTTTTTAATAAAGCCCATTTATCTTACTTTCAATTTCACTGCAACACACAAATAATTGTTCGATATAACCTGAGTTCTCATGTGTATATGTAACCTAAGCAATTCTTTTAAGCAAGGTAAGTCCTAGGAGTGCAGTTGAGTTGGTTCAGGCAAGGGAAAAAAAAAAAAAAAGACAAGATAAAACAAATAAATTGTAAGTAATAGATATGACAAAATGGACCACTGGAATTCTGAAAACAGTGGTCAATCACCAAAACAAATTTTAAAAGGAGAATGTTACCATAATTAAGAAGCACTTCAATATCAATACATTATATACAATGCATCAAGTCCCATTGTAATTATTGCAAAACATTAGCGACATTGCAAGTCATTTGAAACCTTGTACTGAATCGATATCCTCCAAAGCACCAAGTGCAGCCTAAGCAATCTAATAATTTATAGTGACAGTAAAATGCACGTCTATCTGATTTTTGAGGATTCAATCATACATATTACCAAAATTAAAGAATTAAGATAGCAAATCCAAATAACATGCATTCAGAAAGTTTACTTCAATTTTCTCTTCATCATACTTAGCTGTACTGGGCCTCCAACCTGGAAGAAAAACATTAGAGTAAACTGAGACAGAAGGGCTACAAGTAACCATAAACTCAAAAAATTAAAGTTTAGAACCAATGGAAGAAAACAATTTAGCATATAAGGGAAAATACTTGAGTACAGTAACATCAGTGAGTAGTCATACATGGTCATTGCAGGAAGTCCTTGAAATTTATTTTTCTCACAACAAAGCAAGTAACAATAAAACATTGAAAATGAAAAATCTTTTACTCACATTAATAAACCAATAAAATTGGATTTCAAAAGTTGTTCGAAGTTTAGATACTACGATGAAAAAAAAAAAAAAAAAAAAATTGATGCTTAAGTTGAAAATTGAAGAAAATAAATCACAAGCAAGATACAAAGTGAATTGGTTGTGAAAAATTAAAGTCCAAAAAGTATATTGATTTGGAAGTTTGTTTTTCCCTGGAGATTGAATATAACTTAAAAGAAGCGATACGATAAAAATAAAGTAAAAGAAGAATGGACCACAAAAATAAATACAAAGTAAATAGCTTAATAGATAGAAGATGAACCAGGGCCATCAAAAGTATGTAGAAAATTATATAAAGTAAATGAAAATGGGGATGGAAAAGGAGAATAAATGATTACCTCAACGCGAGAAGAGGGTTTGGTTTTGAGAATTAAACAGTCTAAAAGAGCAGCCCATTTACTAGAACAGTTGTCAAAAGTTCCTTGGCAATAATACTGCTGCATCTGATGAACAGGTGAATAGTAGAACCCAAAAGCGTCGAAACACTTGATGCATAATAACCGTCGCCGAGGAGGAGGAGATTGTGATTCTAAACTTATATTGCCCAATCACAACAATCAACTTCTGATTCGATTTAGTGACTAAAAGGGTGAACGAAAGAGAAAAAGGGGTGCAGTTCGGACAATGTGAAAAAAACAAATTTCATCTAAATGTCAGAGATCGCTATGAACAGTTTTGAAGACCGGGTAGTAAGCATTTGAGAGAGAATTCAAAATTTAGGGTTTGTAATTTGGGTTTAGGGATTGATATTATTTGGGAGAGAACTCAAAATTTAGGTTTTGAAATTTGGGACTAGGTTTGAAAAATTCGGAAGCCGAGATTTACATTTGATTTTTTTTTTTTTTTAATTATGGGGTGCCTGATATGGCAATTTGGTGATGTGGCAGATGAGGTGGCACTACCACATAGGCTGCCACGTCAGTAATAAAACTATAATATTAAACTGTCAAGGGTATTTGAGTCTTTTTCTACACTGTTATCTTTTAGCTAACGGAAATTTCTAACCGAACCTGACGGAAAGTGGCTATCTGTCATTTTTAAACTTTTTGGGTACCAACTTGTTATTACAGAAAATTATGCGTAGATCCATGCCATTCGCCCTTATTTTTTTAAGGAAAGTGGGTATGGGCTGTTAGTCATGAACCTGGCTGTGGCTAGATATTTCTTGGATGTTTCCATGCAGTTTGCCTCATCTGAAAAGGCGTGTGGCTCATTTCTTTGTCATTTTTCATTGTCCAAGATTTTACTTACCCTACCCAAGTTTGTTAAATTAATTAATTAATTAAGATATACTTTTATTGAATCCATAAGAAACGCGGATCCAATACAACAAATATATTATCATATAAAGCCAAAACTTGAACACACAGCAAACCATGGCTTACTCGGTTGTTTCCTTCTAATAATTACTTTTTTTTCTTTTAATCTATAGTAAGTATTTTAAATGTCTTGCCACTACGAATGAGAATCTACCCATAAATTCACCTAATTTATAGATATGCAGAAGGATAAACATTCCATTATTTTTTTTTTTTTAATCATCAAAGATGTTCGGAGAACTTATGCGTACATCAACTAATCTCCTGAGACCTGGAACTGTCAACCAAATAAAAGTCTCAGTGACTACCTCCATTAGTGCTTGCTAGAACTCAAACTCAGTAACTCATGAAACCTTTTTTACCCTTTTTTTATCAGACCACCCAGTGATGATTAAAACATTCAATTACATCATGCATTAAAAAACAAATATTTCAATCTTACTATTTTTGTAACTTGTGTTTCAAAAGTTTTATTTAATAAAACCTCTATCAAGTTAAAAGAGACTGAAAATTTATAAACTAGCACAAATTTTAATTCTTTGACTATTTTTAATCTAAAATAGTGTTACTGCTTCCATATATCCTAATTTATTACTAATTTTTTTATCAGTATATTTGTAACTTTTAAGCAATATAACGAATGATCTATCAAATTTGATACTGATATTTTGTATGAGTGAGAAAGTTTACCACTTTTTGAAATTTCTAGGTTTTTAATTTTAAGATTTTGGTGATCAGAAAATCAATTCTTGTCAATCAAGCTAGCATTTGAACTTTCAAGTTGGACTGTACTTATCAGAACAGCCACATTTGGTCACTAAAAGTTTCGTCATTCTTTACGACTTCATTTGTCCGTATCAAAATCTCATATAGGACTTGAAGAAGAAAAAGAAAATCGAAGTCAAAATTTGATACCCTATAATTAATTTAAGTGTGAATTTGATAAGATTTAATCAATATATATATATATAAACTGGCCGGCAAGTTCAAAGATGAAATTGTACACACAAGTTGTTGAGCATTACTCAATATAATTACCCAAATATTGGCGCACTTACACATAAACTGTTGGAGTTATCGACTACTTCAGCATTAATGGGTAACGGAGACGCACTCGGGGGTCCCGCCATATATAACCGCTGTAGGATTTCTATTAAGTTACTAATTCCTTTTTGGGTTGGGCTTAAGAATATGAATCCTTGTAAAACTAGGTTTAATATCTTAAACCTAGTATATAAACATGTTTTTCTCTTGTTATGTGTGAGAGCAATTCATTCATTGTAAACAAGAGAGGTGAGGCATATTGCAATAATATTGACTCAGCTGGACGTAGCCCATATTGGGTGAACCAAGGTAAATCGCACGTATTATTTTCTTTGTTTACTATTTGATTTGTTTTACTATTATATTTTGTTCCTGTTGTTGTCTCTATTTCGTTCATAAACAACACCGTAAAATTGACTTAATTGTGGTTTGTAAATTAAGTAATGTGAATGGTTACAAACAGGAGCTAGTTAACTCTTATGGTTAATTTCTATCGGTTACTCGTTTTCTTACCTACAAACAATTAACATAAAAAAATCCTGCACGCGTAATTGGTGTCCACGAACAAGCCTGGCTTTCAAATTTTTTATTTGTTGACTAAAATATTATTATTTTAACTTTTTAAGTGTGAATTCATTTCTTTGTCAATCAAGCTAGCCTATGAACTTTCAAGTTCGACCGTGCGTATGAGCAGTCACATATGGTCTCCCAGAGTTTCGTCATTCTTTACGAGTTACGTTATCCGTATCAAAATCTGAAATATACCTGAAGAATAAGACAATATCAAAGTCAAATATTGATACCCTATAATTAATTTTGAATGTGAATTTGATAAGCTATAATGTATACATCAATACTCCAGAAACTTTGTATCATATTGTTTATCGTGGTCACCGGCCACCCACAACAAATTATCTATTTTTTTTTAACTTCAGAATCTTCTAAAGCATGCATATTTTCAAAATTACAAAATCCAATCACGAGAGCCATTTTTTTTTTTTTTTTTTAATTTTTAACTAGAGAAACTCTTTCTTTATTATCATAATTTGTTTTTATGATTTTGAATAATTAACTTGACACTGCAACCAGTCTGAGAAATTATTTCATTCTATTAAGGTTAATATTAGGTTATTGATCTAACATTATCTCCTATTTTCTTTCCAAAATAAAAAGGTTAGGCTGAAATTGTAATTAGGAACGGGCCGGCAAACTCAAATGCCAAATTAGAGACACAAATCTTGAGCATTACTCAATACAATTTCCCAAATTAAGATGTAATATTGACTCACATATACACAAAAACAACCATGTAATTAAAATCGACATAATTATGGTTAATAAATAAATTAAAACAATGTGAATGGTGACAAACACAAACTAATTATATTTTCTATCCCTCACCCGTTTTCTTTCCTAAAAACTACATAATAAAATCCCTGCACGTAATCTGTAGTTGGCATCCATAAACCTGGCTTTATTTTTTTTTTTTAAAAGAAGAAATTTTTTTGGGTCCTACGTTCATACGAGGGTTGTTGAATCCTAGAAACTTGCCGGAAATTCATTGTTATTGTTTCTATTAATACCCAATTATCTCACAAGAAACCCACTTGTTAGTATATATATGTGTAAGATCGTATCACCATATCCAATCAAGAATCATTGTTAATTTCTCACACCTACGCTATATATCTTTAATTTCTTCTGCAAGTTCGGCATGTTCGGCTTCAAGAACACGATGAACCAAAGCAAACCCATCTTCATCTCTTGTTTTGTGATCTTTGTGCTTCTTTTCTCGTTAATATCAGTCTCAGCTCAAGAAGTTGGTAATAATTAACAACATATATTTATACTTGTGCTTGTGTTAGTTTCTTTTTGTCTTTGCAATATTTGTTTTCTGCAGTTCGAGAGATTTAATTTGATGTAAAAATATGATGCAGAGGATGAGAGAGAGTTCGACTACGCAGGAGGTGGTGAGAAGGGACCAGGACACTGGGGAGATCTCAAGGAAGAATGGTCTACATGTAAAAAAGGAAGTATGCAATCTCCCATTGATATGAGTAGTGAAAGAGTGAAAGTGATCCTCAAATCAGGAGATTTAAAGAGAAGCTACAAACCTTGTAAAGCTACTCTCAAGAATCGAGGCCATGATATTTCCGTAAGTAATAATTTATCGATTATTTGAACTCAACATATTGCATGTACCTTCATTGATGATTTGCTCAAATTAATTCTCTTTCAAGAACAAATATCTGCGCAAACATGCTAAATCTTGAAATGAAATGTGTTTCCACTTTCCATCAACAGCTAACTTATGACTGGCAGGTTTATTAAAGTTGATGAATTTAAAATTTCCAATTACAGTCCCACACAACTAATCAGCTTTAAAAAAATTCTTTTTCCCAAAAAAGAAAAAAAAATGAAATAATTTTCAGGGCATGAGTGCTTGATTGCCTCCAACTTTTTGTTAAAGAAGCCAGCCTCAGACTACGCGCAATCAGCATGCTGCACATGGGTTGGTCAACAAATAATTTTTTATTGTGGGGTCATATGTTTTTTTACGGGGTATTTTGGAAGTAAGCAAATTTTAGAGGGTTGAAAAAACATAACAACACATCTAAACCCTAATATTAACAATACTTAACTCATAACTCAATTTTACAAACTTTCTCTCAAATCTAGATGTGACAGCTTGTACTTAGTCAGATAACAATGAATCTCACTTATCATATTGCAAACTGTCACATCGAAATTGTGAAAGAAAGTTTGTGAATCAATCTTTATTGTTAACCAATAATACTACAGTATTTACAAGTCAATTTTACAAACTTTCTCTCACAACCCTGACGTAACAGTTTGTATTGGTCAATTGACAATAGATTCCACCTATTCTACTGCGAACTATCACATCAAGATTGTGAAAGAAAATTTGTAAGATTGGATTGCGAGTCAATCTTTATTGTTAACCAACAAATGCATTGTTGAACATAAATACTCTCCTTCACTTATCTGGTTGTCTTTTTTTTTTTTTTTTTTTCTTTTCGGGACCATTATTATGTTTGATAATTATTACACTAATTATGCATAATAATTTTAATTAAATCAATGAATTAAAATTATTGATTTAATAACATTCTTTTAAATGTCTAATTGATTTGGCCTTGTGAACGCAGCTGAAATGGTTAGATCACAGTGCCGGAACCGTGGAGATGAACGGCACTGGTTACTTGCTGGATCAAGCCCACTGGCACTCACCTTCCGAGCATACCATCAATGGCCGGAGGTAAATAATGTAGTATAATTAATTACCTTTGATAATAAAAAAAATCAAGATTAAAGAGGGCTTAATTGATGTGTTTATGGTTGAATTAAAATGTTAGGTATGACTTGGAGTTACACATGGTTCATACAAGCATTGACCCCAACGTCACAAACAAGATTACTGTCATTGGACTCCTTTACAAGATTGGTCCCCCAGATCCTTTCCTCTCTAAGGTACAATATTTTTACCATGAATTTTTTAATTTGTTGACATCTTGTGATCTCATTCTCTTGAGTTTTGAACAATTGATTATCAGCTGATCAACAATATAACGTCTATGGCCGATCAATTGCAAGAGAGAGACATGGGGATGATTCATCCATACGAAATCAAGATGGGTGGCAGAAAATATTATAGATACATAGGTTCACTAACTGTTCCTCCTTGCACTGAGGGTGTAAATTGGATAATCAACAAATTGGTAAGTCTAAATCCTCACAAACCCTAAATCATGCAAATTCTCTAAATGATTTTCTACTTGTTTAATTTATTCATAAAAAATGAAAAGCTTATACGTGTTTGAATGGTAATAACAGATAAGAACTGTGTCAGAAGACCAAATCAAGGCACTTCGAATTGCAGTCCACGATGTAAGTAACTTAGTGTTCTAATTTTAAGGCTATATTCTTAGAATGAGCAATGAAGTATTCTAATGTTGTATAATGAACAAAATTTGCAGTATGCGGAGATGAATGCAAGGCCATTGCAGCCGATCAATCGTCGAGGAATAGAATTGTATGGACCAAACCCTATGGCTAACTAGCTAGGAACTAGGAAGAGATTGCAGAGTTTTTCTTCTTTCCAACCACATTTTGCTTCTATGACTCTTCTTATCTTATAGAAATAGAATGGAACAATGAGAAACAAGTACATGGCATTTTTTTTTTCTTCTTTTTTAATTCCTTTGTTTCAACCACACACGCCAAACATGAAAGAATCTGGCTTAATTATAGTTGACAACACTCATTGCAGATCATAAATACCGCAATCAAATTTCAACGTTTTAAGATTATGTAGCTATTCTCTTCATAAAAAAATTATCTCACAAAAAGTAACATAAGCAAATATAAAATGGAAGAAAACGATCTTTAATTTGCAGGAAATACATGTACCAAGCTAATAGTGCATGTTATATGTCTATCATTTCCCCTTTCATCAATCGGAGGAATTAATATAATTAATGCTTTAAAATAACTATTTATATAACAAAGTCTACAATAATTTATTATTGGCTTGGTACATGCATGACATAGTACACCCTATGTATAGTAAACAATCACAATAGCATTTCCATTGACTACTTATCATATAGAGAACAGAGGATTTTTGCGGACAAAATAATGAAATATATGAAAATTTAAATCACCCATCAAATCAGAACGTCTCAAGAAAAAATAACTTTTTATTAGTAGTAGTAGTAGTATTGATAAAGCCCTTTGACAAGGGGTCTGCATACTTCGAGAAAATGAAAAACTTAAACTCAAGATTGAGCACCTATTAGAACAAGCATGTGTACAAGTTGGTAAATGACAGTCAAAGAATAAAGGAACGAATACCCCAGCTTATCCCCCTACTGTCTCAGGTACACTTTCTTCATCCGAGGACTTTTGTTAACGATTGATAAAAAAACTAAAGTAGATTTTGTACTGTTACTGAAGTTTGATTGAAGAAGCCAATCATCGCATCATCTGAGAAATCCCTGGTGAGCATGAAGCAGGCCCTCCCCGTGTCTGCCTTGTATTGTAGGAATTACATTTTAGGCATTTGTGTGCCAAGACGTGAAAATTTACTTCTGATGCTTCCCCACAGTCATTACAGAGAATCCAAACCTAGATAATAATAATGCCAAACTTAATATTACCAAACTGAAAAATCAATGTAGAAATCAGATATCGCAACCATTATATTCCTTACCATTTTGTTATCATACATTTGAGGCATGGGTGTTGATGCAACCTGAATAATGTTTTGAAAAAGTTTCAGTGAGAAATTATGACACAGATAGAGGTGCAGAAATATTATAATTTCTAACAACTTAATTTTTTTATCAAAGAAATACCTCTCGGTCAAGTTTTTCCCACACACGGGACATATCACAATATGATTTTGAGCAAATTGGGCAAGAATATCTGAAAGAACTTTATTAATACATAAGCCAGCTGCCAATAATTACATAAAGAAATTTAAAACCGAAAGCATTTTATAAAAACTAGTTACAAGAAAACAACACGTTACCGGAAATGCCGTTCCATCTCCTTCACACATTCCAAATGTATATTGTGTCCACAACGCAAAACAGTTATGCCTCTCGTTGTATCAAATAGGAACTGTGTAATGATATGAAATTAGTTACTTTAGAAAATAGAACCTCTAGGATCATTCTTGTCAAGCTTATTAGAAATTAAATTTACCTCAAAGCAAACTGGGCAATTATGGTGCATTGCTCTTTCCACACATTTGTGTGAGTCCTTCAACAAGTTTGAATAGCAACAACCTAAAAAGAAGTAATTGCCTCCTAATTAAGTAACTCATGAAAGCACAGATTAAACAATTTCTCAAACAACCAATAATGAAGCTTCAATCTTACCACATTTGTTGCAATGGAAAAAGTTATCCTCTCCACCAGTTCTGCATGCAATACCAATGCACAGCAATTTAGATAAAATGTCTATAAATAACCATTAAGGTGAACTAGGTACAACAATGACAAGAAAAGAATAGTAGCAATAGTGAAAATAATTTAACCTGCATATACCGCATTCATTGCAATGGTATTGATTCTTCGAAACCTAATAACATAGAATGATCAATCAGATAGCAAGACTGATTTAACAGGCTATAAACTTCAAGAAAAATCTTTGAACTAACGGGCTTACGTCATCATCAAAAAACTTGCATTTGGAGCAAAAATACTTCCCCATGCAAACCCCGCATTTAATGCAGTGTTGTTGAACCTAACGAAAAATGACAAATTAGCACACCACTCATAAGCATTTCTTCATCCTGTATCAATTGTCAGCAACCGTTTTTAATAGTATCACAAAAAATAATTTAGATGACTTACATCTTGTTCTGTGGCACACAAGGAACAGATGACCTGATAAAGAAGCACAGAGCGTAAGTAACATTGGATTAGAGTCAACCAATACAATTCAAGAGAAACAAGATCCAACAAAGGTAAATCTTGCTTGAGACCATGAGCATCTACACGGGCGTCAAATAAAATCATTTATTTTTGAAATGTTCTCCTTTGTCCTTTCCATTCAAAACTATCCCCTAAAGGAGCCAATTGAAAATCAAAAGATAGATACTCCTTATCCATAGTGTTTGCAACTTTTGACAAGGAATTGATAACTTTTTGCAGACATCAAAACATTCTTAACGAATTGTATCTATCTTCTCTTTATTTATGTATTTTTTTTTTATCCAATCTTTTCTTTAAACATATTTCCAAGCTTCATAATAATGCCACAATACCAAAGCTAAAATGAGCTGTTATCACAACAAAAGAACTAGAGATAATACAACTAACCCTTTTCAATTCATGGCGAGGAACATCGTGACGATGATGGGGATCAACTTCCATAGAGTTCTGTTATTTAAAAAAAAAAAATTCCAATTTGTAATTTTATTAAACTTAATTATCAATAATAGAACTAAATTACAACAAATTGTTCAGTAAGGAAAAAAGAAAACCTTAGATTCGTTATGGCAATGTCTGCAATCAAAAATCTCATCACAACATGGAGTTCTAATTTTGCACCTCCTTCTATAGTGTGAACACCTTAATTATTAAAACAAAAAATAATAACAAATTTGAATCAGAAACCAACCAATTAAGTAAAAAGAGAAGTTGATAAGTTAAAAAAAAATAACAATGAATACCCAAAATTTCCGGAACCGAGCTCCATTAGAGACTCTTCAGAAGACATCTTGAACTGGAAGCAGATCTCCATTCTCTTAAAAGTTGAATTAGATGTTACCTGAAACCCACAAACACAACAACTTCAACAATGCGAAATCAATATAAGAACAAAATCATGTAACAAAAAAGGAGCAAACTAACATACGAGGACAGAAATTATTGAAAAATACTCATTAGCCCCAAGGATTAATGGTAATTTTAAACATTTGATTTTGTTTCGTAGTGTGGTTTTTCATATTAGTGAATTTTTGTGGAGCGACACGACAGCATTGGCCGGCCGACTTTAAAAATGTGGGAGACAGAGAAAGTAATTCTTTAAGAAGATGATTGAACTAAAACGACGTCGGTTTTGATTTGTAACAGAAAGATAACGTGGAAGACAGTGGAGTGTAAAGTAACGTAACGTGACGTACCGGTGGTTAAGGAAGAAAGAAAATAAAAGAATGGTGCGTAACGGAGCGGGGGATAGAGTTGAGGTGTTGAGTGTTATGCGATCCGCATGGCAGTAAAATATGAAGAGGTGAACAGTGAAGAAGATCACGCGCGTTTGGGTTATTTATAGGTGAATGTCAGGGTTGGTTGACGGGAAAAGCGCGCGTGTGACAGGGACACTAGTGTTATATTTCAAATTGGAGAAAAGTATAAAGTGTGAGTGGTCTCATCTTATCTTCCGTGAATCATCTTTTTAAATAGTATGACGTTTTGTTTCATCTTTCTTACATTATCTTTATCCACTTCCAAGAAAACAAATTATATTTTAAAAATAGAAATAAATGTAGTATGTTAAGGGTATGTCAGGAATTTCATTAAACAACAGGGGTATTAGAGAGATTAGAGTAAAAAATATATTTATTATGTAGACAGTAGACATGATCAGGCTTTTGTGTTTTAAGATCTCAGTTAATGATTTAGATCATTATTTTTTTTATTATAATTTAAATAAAATAAAAAATTATGAGGCCTTTTGATTCTGGATAAGGTTATTCTTTATCATAAATAAAAGAATGCGATTGGATATTTTTTTTTCTGAAAACGAGAGAACGGTCCAATAAAGTGTAGCAGCATGAGGATGGTGAGTAGATACGGATTAGCTCAACTCAATCTGGAGGAAACAAGAGAACAAAACCATCAGTTTCCAGGAATGGTAGAAAGGTAGCCTTTCTTATCTTAAATTTGAATGTCTGAATATCTAAATGGGGAATTTAGACATCAATTTGAGCTAGATACTAAAGATATTTGCAGGACCAGAATTGAGTACAGGTCATCAATTGATTCTAAAAAGATGGCTGTTGAATTATACCCCTTGCCAACGTCAGTCGTTTAAAACTAAAGTTGGGCAGAATGCTTAAAGGTTCTTTGCTTTACTAACGAATTTTTGAATTGTTGGTTGAATTGATATAAGATATTTTGAATGTCTGACCAAAATCTAATACCCTTTCTTTTTTTCTTTTTCTTTTTCCGACTTTGATGACTGTAGTATTTAAACCAGTTTACACGTACTTCAATTAATCTTTCGAGATCTGAAACTAGTAATCAAATAAGAACTCTAATAGTCACTCTTATTAAGGGTCATGAGAACTCGAATTTAGTAAACTATATTAAATCCTTCTTTTATTCTTTATCATTATTGAGACTCAAACTTAAAAGACCATATTAGATCATCAATTGCTCTTCTACCATCATGTTGAAAATCTACTACTCTGCTTCTTTCTAATTTCCACTAATATTTGAGGCCACTAATTAAATAACTGAGGTTGGAAAATCAGTTCCCTTATTTCAAACCCAATATGATGCAATACCAGATAAGCCCACCCAACTGGCAGGCCCCAAGGCTAGTGAATCCTGTTGACTGATGAGACAAAATATCACGTGAAGTAATACCCAAAATCAACAAAATTGTTGGGGTTATAAATTTGAATAGCTCCTTTTTATAATATAGTTCATCAATCTTTAGCCCTTCAATGTTGACCACTAGAGTTTGTGTTCTTACCGACGATCAAGATCATTTTTTCATTTGATTCTCCTGTTAGAAACACGTACTATTTTGTTCTTAATTTATATCTCCCAATTTTTTTTTCATACCTTTCCTATTCTTAAATCCTTGCAAGTTAACTAAATAAAAATAATAAAGAAAGTTGTCATTCAAGTAGCAAAATCCGGTTAAAGTGTGTATAAGTTAGTCCAGACACTCAGATTACCAAAAAAAAAAAAAAGTTGCGTAAACCTTTTATGTAAATTACTTGTTTTTGCATATCTCGAATTCTATTTTGTTCCTTACTTGATTGGGCAAGGATGGTAAATCATATACTCTTACAAAATATGATGTTAGGGTTTTCCTTACATTTGTGGAAACCTCTGGAAGCTCACAAATAATATCCCCTTAAAACTTTGACTCTAAAATCATATACTCTTACAAAATATGATGTTAGGGTTTTCCTTACATTTGTGGAAACCTCTGGAAGCTCACAAATAATATCCCCTTAAAACTTTGACTCTACATAATGGAATGACGTGAGAGGTTATTAATTTCAGTTGCGTGATCATGAGCTTGATTTCAAAATGCTTATGTTATAGGTATCACTTGTGAAGCTATAAATCAATTTTGAGTTAAAGGATACGAGGGTTTTCTGCAAAAATGTCTGTTTTGTGGCAGCGGAGATGCTAAATTTATGCAAATTTGTTGAAGCTTTGGATCTGTTAAATAAAGGTAAAGGAGTCTGGGTACAAACTTAACTTTAACATATAATACAGTAGCTGGTCGGCTTGCTATGGCCATTTACAAGAGGCAATTGACTCGTATCTCTAGATACACAATGTGGGATGGTTCACGTTTAAACCTTGCAACCTATACATAAATATTTGGCATGCATGTGCCACATTAATGTAGTGCTAGTGCAAGTGCAAGTGCAAGTGCAAGGGCTTGTATAAAATACGCACAATTTTGAATACCTCAAGCTATTAAACACTGTCAGAGAATTCGAAAGTTAAATTATGAGTAAGATAAAGTCTTTAGTTTATTCTTGTTGTGGGTTCCAGAAATGCAATAACAAGCTTAAGCTTTTAGGTGGGATGACAATGTAACAATTTTGAGGACCTCAATCAAGAAATAGTGTTTCTAGAGTCNTTTGGCATGCATGTGCCACATTAATGTAGTGCTAGTGCAAGTGCAAGTGCAAGTGCAAGGGCTTGTATAAAATACGCACAATTTTGAATACCTCAAGCTATTAAACACTGTCAGAGAATTCGAAAGTTAAATTATGAGTAAGATAAAGTCTTTAGTTTATTCTTGTTGTGGGTTCCAGAAATGTAATAATAAGCTTAAACTTTTAGGTGAGATGACAATTTAACAATTTTGAGGATCTCAATCAAGAAATAGTGTTTCTAGAGTCACAAATTGCAGATATAAGTTACGATCAACCTGTTAAACAAAAGCCAAACGGTGACGTTTTCAGATTGAGTCTTTAGTGCAGCTTAAAGTGTTGCCGCTTCTGAGTAAGATTACTTAGCTTAAAGTGATGTCGTTTTTGAGTAAGATTACTTAGCTTAAAGTGATGTCGTTTTGTGTTGTAAACATCAGTTATAAACTGATTTTGTACTCCATTTTGAGTGAGTTGTTCAATACAAAATAGTAAAAGATTTAGCTCATTTCTCTATCATTTTTCTCTCAAATCCCTAACTCTCACATGGTATCAGAGCATCATTGACTAAAGTCAATGGCTAAAAACTCTGAAAGTTCTCGATCAACAAATAACATGGATAAAATACTTCACAAATCAATCAACAGCTTAATCAATTTTGCTCCTTCAACAATTTCCTCTAGTCTTTAGATTATCAATCCGAAGCTTAATGGAGATAGTTATAGATTCTGGCGTTCACAAGCATTGTTTGCAATAGGAGCTCACAAATTGGAAGATCATCTAACAGGTTTGGTTCCTCGTCCAGCTCCTTTAGTTCTGAACAAGTCTGATAACACTAAAGATGTAGCTGATGTTCAAATGATGAATTTTTTGCTAAAGAGAAAATCAATCCAGCTTACACTTTATGGAAGCGAATTGAAAAATTTCTTGTTAGCTGGTTATTAGCCTCCATCTCTGAGAGTATGTTCAAAACTGTTTCAAAATGTCCATATTCTACTGAAATTTGGTTTACTCTTGAAAAGGAGTTTCTTACTGATTCTAAAGCTCGGGTCAGAATACAAGTAATGATAATCTCAGTATTAGTGAGTATGTAAGAAAGATGAAAGGAATATCTAACAGTTTATCAACTAGTGCACAAATTGTTTTTGAAGAAGATTTGCTCCAATATATCTTAGATGGCCTAGGTCCAGAGTAGGATGCAGCTGTTGTCAATCTTACTTTAAGAATAAAATCTCGAACTGACTCAGTGTCCTTGCAAGAAGCTCAATTTATGTTGTAGAAATATGAAATAAGGTTGGAAAAGTTTAATTCTGTGGATTTCCATAATAGCTTAGTTCACATTGCAGCTTTATCATCATCTTCTAGACAATTCTTAACCTCACCACTCACAACTTCTATTTCTCAAGAAACATGAACACCTATTTCTCTTTCTACACCTACGCAATCACGACAAACTATACTTCTGATCAATCAATTATCAATTATCAATTATCAATCTCCTTCTACACCACACACAACATTTATTCCCACAACAACAACAACTTTTCCATCTTTCTCTACACCTATACAATCACCACAAACTATCATTTCTGACCAATCACTCATTACCTGTCCTATTGAAGTTGATTTTTTCTCATCTCAGCTCTCTAATGTGTCTGAGCAATCAGATGCTAATCTCAATGTGCATCCCATGCTAACAAGAGCAAAAAAAAAAAAAAAAAAAAAAAAAAAAAAAAAGCAGAACACTTTGTCATACTGTGTTTATTGATGTTAGCTCATCTGTTCCTAAACCAGCAACAATATTTGAAGCTTTTAGTTTACTAGAATGGAAACAAGTCATGCAGAATGAATATGATGCCTTAATTGCTAACAATACAGGGACTCTTCTCTCTTTTACTTCAGAGATGAATATTGTTGGCAATAAATGGGTTTTTAGAACCAAATTCCATGTTGATGGTACTTTGCAGAAGTATAAAGCAAGATTAGTTGTTAGGGGTTTTCAACAAATTGCTAGGTTAGATTATTTTGAGACTTTCAGTCAAGTTATAAAACCTTTTACCATTAGGATTATCCCTACACTTGCTGCTACCTATAATTGGGACATTCAACAAGTGGATTTTAACAATGCCTTCTTAA